GATAATTTTTAGCCTGCTGGATATTCTGTTTGAAGTCTATACAGCAGTGCCTCCATCAAAGGGGATGAGTTGTAATGATATATTCTGTTAAGAAACTTTTATCAGTTAGGAATTATGTATTTATTCAAAATATGTATAGAGTTTTAAAATTTATGGCAATGTATTAGGGATAGGGATTGTGATTTCATCAGGTTAGGATATGCTTAGGGGAGGCTACTCACATCACCAATGTAGTTGTGTACTTTTCTCTAGAACTTATGATGTTAGGGGGTTGCCTGTAGCAAGAAGAGGCTAGCTGACTTGCCCACAAACACAATAATTTTTTTAAAAAATTTTCTGGGTATAGAGCCCTGCTTTGAGTCAGAAAGTTCACCTGAGTTCAGATTTGCTGCACATAATTACTAGACCTGTGACCCTGGTCAAGCTACTTGACTTCCCTCTACCTCATCTGAAAAATGAAGGGTTGGACTTGCTGGCCTCCAAGGACCCTTCCAGGCCTGATTCTATGATTCTGTGACATGGCGTCTGATTTTAGGTTGTTTGTAGTCTAGTACAGGGGTGGGGAACCTGCACTCTAGTAGGACCATGTGTTTAAATCCTAATAAATCTGGAAATAATCTTATCCCACCTCCTTATTTTACTTAGAAGGAAACTAAAGCCCATGGGGGGAAGTGACTTTAGTTTACTTTGACAAATATCAATTCAGTACCTACTATATATAATATGCTGGGAATACAAAGACAAAAGTGAAATTGTCTCTGCCCTCATGGTATTTCCATTTTACTGGACTTGCATAGGTTATGGAAGTACTAAATTGCAAAGTTGAGAAGGGGGTGCTTTAGTGGGAGTTGAATAATCCGTCTTGATAATTGGCTCTGAAAGATCAGGGAGCCTTAAAATAAGATTTAAAGACTACGGTTAGGTTATATATGACATTGTTTTCCATATAAGTGCCTTGTGCAATGGGCAGTGCAACCATTATTAGCCTCTTAAGGTAAGGCCACAGAAGTATATGACTTTCCTGTGATCAGACAACTAGTGAATGTCAGATCCACAAATCTGGATCTCCCATTAAGCCAGAGCTCTTTCTGCCATGCATTCTGTGATCAAAAAGGGGAGACTTTGTATAAAACACAATTAATTGCTAACCAAAGTAACATCAAATATACAAAAGTAAATAATGAATCCTAGAAGCCTAGAGAGACTTTGGAGTTCTTACAGCCCAGCCCCTGCTTGAGTCATGAAGCCCATCTGAAATAGCCCCAACAAGTAGTTATCCAACTTCTGCTTGAAGGACCTCTGTTGATAGGCAACCTCTGATTCCCAAGGAAGCATTTGATCTTAGGACAACTCATTGTTAAGAAGTTTTCCTTATGTTGAGCCAAAATCTATCTCCCTATATGATTTGCTTTGTGCTACCCTACAGTTTGATGCAGGTGAGGACCTCAGTTCTGTGTCTTACTAGCTACGTAAACTTGGGTAGAGCACTGTAATCCCTCTGAGCCTTGATTTCCTCATCTGTAAAATGAAAATACATGCTCTGTCTATCTCAGAGGGATGATATAAGGGTCAAATGAGATGATGTCAGTTCAAGTACTTGGAAATATAAGACGTGCTAAAGTGATCATTGTTAAGAATACTGGTAAATTATTAACACATTCCAGAAAACAAGGTTTATATTTATAATCTGATTATTGGATCAGTGTCTTATACAAGTCCTATCAGATTGTAGCTTTGCACAAAATAGGCATTCAATAAATATTTGAAGCAATGAAAAAAGCCTAGCCCAAATGTTAACTCAAGAATCAGCACTCTAGTTTACAAAACAGCTTTAAATACTAACAGTTTTTATATTTGAAGCCCACAGGCTGACTTGTATTAAATTCAGTGACTACGCTTTAATTAGGAAACAGAGAAATACTTGTTTAGATGACCTTTGGTCTCTTCCAACTCTTGATCTATGTTCCTATAATCCTATGATTGGTTCTTTAGTGAAATTACCAACTTTTTATAGAAATTAATTTCAATATTTAATAGTGTTTGTATCACTGTATCAAAGCAGTCATAATACTTTGGGCTTCTAACCCATAACTAAAGGAAACTATCAGATGCTATTTTTCAGGATAATCATAAATTTCAACATGAATGTCATGCACCAAGTCCAATAGAATATTATATTACAATGTAAAAATCTTCAAAAATGCAAAAATTTTCAATATTTTAAGGGACAAGGTAGTACTATGGTACTTTTATATTGGCATTAATTAAGTAGGATTCCCATCTTTCAAATTAACATGTTTAAAATATTAATCTGCTCATAGGAAGATTTCTGAAACCAAATTTTAAAGGGAAATTTTTAAGAGCAGCTTTCCCAGGATAGGCAACTGAAAGTAGGAGGCCATTCATACTGCAGATTTATCATTCTAATTGTCTTGGGGATTGTTATGACAGTGTATGTTCTCTCCACTAGTGACTACTTTGGTTTTTATTGAGCTTTATTGGGTCCCTAGCTGCTTTCAGAAGTTAATGGTGTTTGGTTACAGGGCCGATTTGATATATTTTGACTCTTGGGAAGTCTAGGTGGGGAGCTGGGAATGAGGTAGGAAGTAGAAGCTGAAAATAGACCTTATTTTGAATTGCTTTGCTAATCAGAATACTGCTTGCTTAAGATCACTAAGGAAATAGGAATAGGAAACTTGAGTGGGACCTGAAGAAGGGAGAGGATTTTGGAATAGGAAGGTAGGACTGGGTGTATGTACGGTAGAGGCTTTGAACATTCAAAGAACAGCATGAGTAAAGCTATCAGGCTTAGTTTGGATTCTCCAGATTTAAGACAGTCATCCCAGAGAAGGCTAGTCCAGCGAAGCCCAGTTTCTTTCTGTCTAACCGAATACTTCTCCTCTACTTTGAAGGAAGAAAAGAGGAAGGGATCAAAGAGATATTCTAATGTATTCTTTGACTTCTTCATTCTTCCTCAATTAACCGTCTGGCAGAATCTCATTATTTCTGGATCTTTTAAGAAATACTGTACTTGAATTGACAACAGAGAACCATAATGAAATATAAATTAACTGGAATGAAAACTGACTTGTCAGCTTGAGTATAATAACTGTGTAATAATGTTACAGTGAACACATTCATACTAACTAGTTCTTAATTTTAAAACATTGCACTTAAGATTGTTACTTCCTACATTCTAGGGTGGACCATGGTACTAGACCTTCTCCAATGTATATTTCCATGATTCAGTAGAACTTGACCCATCCTTGGGGAATTAAGAGGCAAAGTCTGAAGAGACATATGCCTCTCCCCAAGCCTTGCCTCAGTATTAATTTCTTTATGGGACTACAGTTTATGAAGTAGTTCCTAGGATAAAATGAGGAGTTTGGACCAGGTCAATGCTACAATCTTTTCTATTTCTAAATCTGTGACTGCAAGTACATAGCAAGAATTTAATAAATTCTTGTTAAATGGCTATCAATCAAGGATTTAATGAACATTTATTACTTTGTGTCTAGCACTTGGTTAGGCCAGATGAAGAATGCATGAGAAATAAAAGGCAGCCATTTTTATCCTTAAGTCCGTTATGATGGATAGTCAAGACATGAAATAAAGAAAATGTAAGTGTGGCATAGTATAGATTATTAGTGTAATAGAAGTTCAGAAAATGGTAGGGCTTGCCCTGAACCTTGAAGAAATGGGTAGGAATTGACTAGGTAGAAAAGAAGAAAAGAAGGGTATACTTTCCTGGGAGAAGTAAAGCATGAGCACAGGCAGAAAGGAAAGAATATATCATAGCAAGTTTGGATAATGAGGAAATTGGCCTGAGTAAAACGGTGTATTCATGTTGAAGAGTAGTAGCAAATAAACGTGGACAGGTGGGATGGGACCAACTCATCAAGGAGCTTCAGAAATTAAACAAAGGTGTTTGAGTTGGATGCAGGCAACCAAGGGGAAGAAAATGTAGTTCCATTTGTAGGAGAGCCCATATAAAGGAAGGAGTGTGGTAGAAAGATATCAGTTTGGTAGTGGTATGTGAGATATCTCTGAGAGGCTATTAAACAAGTGGTAAGTTGGGTATAAAATGATGGAGTCCTGGATGGACTAGCTGGTGGGGTGGCAGTAGGAATGAAGAGGGATGGACAGAATAGATACCAGAGAACTTTGGAAGCAAAAAATAGTTGCACTATGTACCCCACTGGTTATAGAGATGAAGAAGGATGAGTCAAAGATGATGTGTCTGAGAGAATGGTGGTTCCTCTGACAAATAGAAATGGGAAAGGTTGTGAAGGGGAGGAGGGAAAAGGGAATGACATAACCCACAACTATTCATTGAAGAAAACAGAACATTATGTCATAGGATAAGGGGATTTAGAGCTGGAAAGAAATAATCTAGTTCAACTCTCTATTATGCAGTAAGGAAACTGAGGCCCACTGGAGCTAAATGACTAGTCCAAGGCCATGCCCCCATACCAGAGCTTTTTCCTGTGGGCCTGCTTTTCTGCATTGGCAGGTGGTTTGAGTGGGGCTTTGGGGACATGAGTTGTACAGGATATGAGATGGATTTGTTGATAACTCCAACCTGCAGGCTAAGAGGAAGCACATGGATTTCATCTCCTTCTGACTCCTATCCTTACCCAAGCCTTTAAAGCTCAAGGTTGTTTAAAAAAACAACATATAAAATTGCTTAAGATTATCAATTAACTACCCTAGCTCCCAGCAATTTTACAACCTGCTTAAAACACACACACACACACACACACACACACACACACACACAGAGCCAATAGCAGCTAGCAACCAACAAACTTCTTTGAATGATTTATTGATATTTTTTTTTAACATTGTTTTGGCTTTGTTCCTGGGAGACTCATTAATTCCAGTATTACTGAAGGCAAGCTTCTTTTAATCTTGTTGTTATGCCAAGCTTTGAAAAAGCAGAGAATGTGTCATCTTCTACAAACTCAAGTGTTTATTTCTCCTATCCCTCTCTATTCCAGAGAACAACCTATCTTCACCACCAGAGCACATGTCTTCCAAATAGACCCCAGCACTAAGAAGAACTGGATGCCTGCAAGCAAGCAGGCAGTCACCGTTTCCTACTTCTATGACAGCACAAGAAACAGCTATCGGATTATCAGTGTGGATGGAGCGAAGGTAGGAGGGTGCAGTAGCATGTTCGTGACCTGCCTACCTGTTGATGAAGGCTGATTTACCAGGGCTCCTTCACTCAGAGGAAGGTGGGAGATCAGGGTTACATACCGGTAGAGACCAACAGAGTGGCTGATGAATATTCACAAGTACAGTCCCTGACTGCAAAGGGATTTTTACTTACCCTGTATTGAGTCTTATTTGACCTACTCCAGATTGGCTACTCAAAGGTACCTAGCAAAAGACCCCAGACCTTTTTGTCTGCTTTAGTGCAATGAAGGACTGTATAGCTGCTCATATCTGCTGGCCATTCACAATTTGTCTATTACTTGGAAAGATAAGGTTGCCTGCATTGCAGTTAACTGTGTGACTGAGTTAATATAATGAGTGTGATCCCTGAGCCAAGCCAAAGTCAAGATCCAGAATGGCAGATCCAGAATTTTTGGGTTTAAGTGAGTATGTCCACTAAATGGATTAGTATACTCTCAAAATGTGTTGTAATTAGATCAACTGTGTGTAACAACTTTATCTTGTTCCTTGAAATCACAAATCTGACACATATGCTTATATGATGTAATGTTTCTGTAGAAAATAATTAAAAATCGTATGAAACTAGACCCAAGAATTATGTAATCTACGTTTCCAGCCCTGAACCCCATTCTGAGTAACAGTCCTTTTGTCTCCTAGACATTTTCCACTTAGCCTATATCACATCAAACTGAGCATATCTAAAACTAAACCTGTCATCCCTAACCTTTCCTCTCACTTTCCCAACAACAAAAAATACCTTTTCCTCATTCTCGATTTTCCTATTTCTGTGTTTCTAGTCTCTCAGATGAAAACTGGGAGTTATTATTGAATCCTATTTCTCTCTCACCCAATAATTACTTAGTCACTAAGCTTTTCAAGTCTTCAAAATGTCTTTTATTTCTCCTCTTTTGATTCCTGTTACTACCACCATAGTCTCTAAACCCTTACTATCTCATGCTTGGACTTTTATAGAAATCCCCTAACTAGATTCTTCCCCTCCATGTTCCACTCCATTTCCAGGTCATGCATTATGTCACTGTCAGATGAATCTTTCTATAACATTGTTTAACACAGTAAAGTCTGAGCAGTCTGGATTGGATATGGCGGGCCCATAGCAAGTATTATTGCAGGCTGTGTTGCCCTCTCCAATTTGAGAATTATTGCAGTAACTTATTTGAAGGTCATCTGGATTAATAATACATCCCAACTGATTTAGGGAAAAAATAAAATATTATTTAAAATTTAAAAAATACTAGATCCTACTGTTTAGTGACCTCCTGCCTTAAGACTTAAGTTCTTCAGTTATAGAAAGTTTTCAAGGTTCTGTGTACCTAGCTGCATGTCACTAGACTCCAAAGGATCTGAAAGAATGAGTGAAGCATCTATTAATTGCTTACTGTGTACAAAGCACCATGCTAAGTGATTGAGATACAAATAGAAAATCAAGACAGTCCCTGCTCTCAGGAAACTCACTTAGATTCAAAAGGAGGAAACAACATACGTATGGAAGGTTTCAGCTGCAAGTCAGATGGAAAGGTCCCATTGTTCTTAGGTTGGAGTAGCAAAGCACCTGTTAGTGCCTCTTCCTTAATGGTATTTCCACTGATAAAATCATATCAGTTTCTGACATAGGACTGTTTGATAATGCTAAAGACTTTGGTGGCAAGAACTTTCTTTTCTGGGTTTTCAGTAGCTCTGGCTGTTAACACTTGCAGGAGCAGTTGCCAGGCTGCATCTAGACAGAGATTGCCTCTCAGGATGACATCTGAGAACTCTGGGCTAGAAGCATTGCTATTCCAAAGGCTTTGGGTTCAATTCTGGGCTGTCTTCACTGGGGTCTGAGGGGAAATCATGGTCATGTGATGGTGATTGTCTGACCTGCCTGGCATATACTGCTTCAGCTAGGTTGGCTTGCCTGCCTGGTGTTTGGCATTTTGTTGGCAATTGGTGGAGATGAGTGGCTCCTTCTCCTCTGGACTTACTTCTTCAGATATGACTTTGGGAAATGGTCTGGAAGCAGGACTGGTGGTTTCGGAGGTGCTGCCACAGCCAGGGCTCCTATGCTTGTTTGAATGTTATTGGCATTTGGTCAGCAGTTGTCACTGATGGTGAGGAAGAATGTATATCCCTTTTTGCAATGACTTATCCCCTGAATGATTGCTGCGGGAGCTGGGCTAGAAGCAGGTCTGGTGGTTTAGGGAATATTGTTATTTCCAGGGCTCTTGGGCTCAGAGTCTTGGCTTATTTCCATTTAGTTCTAAGAGGAAATGATGGTTAAAGTAGTGATGGTGGTGGTGATTTGATTTGCCTGGTACAGGCTGTCTCCTGTCTCTCCTTCAGGGGACTTTGCTGCTTCGGGTTAGCTGACTTGACTCCTCAGCCGTTGCTTCCTCTGATGCTGGCTTTGAGCACTGATCTAGAAGCAAGACCAGTGGTCTGGGAAATACTGCCACTCCCAGGACTCCTGTGTCTACCTGATTATTGCTGGCCATTTGTTTCTGGTGGCGATGAGGAGTGTGAACCCCCTCTTCACAATGATTTCTCCCCCTCAACAAGAGCTGTAGAGTTTTGGCTGGAAGTAGATCTGGTGATTTGGGGGACACTGTTATTCCCAAGAAAGATGTGTAAGATGAGGCCTGTGCCCTCAAAGTACTTGTAGACTATATTCCTTTTTTCTTCTGTGATTCTTTATAACACTCTTCCTTACATTTTTTGAATTATAGAATCACATAGATAAAAGGAGCCTTAGTGAGAATCTGGCCCAAGTTTCTTACTTGAAAAATGAGGAAACTGAAGCCCATAATGGTGAGATGACTTGCCCAAGGCTAGGTAGCTAAATAGTGACAGCACTAAATTGAAAACTCAGCCCTCCTTACTCTTAGCTTGATTTATTTCCCCTGTGCCATGCTGTATCTTGGGTATGTATAGAAATATTTCTTGATATTAGATCTAATAGGCTGTGATGATATGATGTGGATTTAAACTTTCATAAGAATTTAGAGTTGGAAAGGAACTTGCTGGATATGCCCAATGATAGGCAAATTACCTTTTTTTTATTTTAAACTTTCTCTTGGGACTGTTGGTTAGCTATTAAACCCCAAATCATTTCTGTGATGCTGAGCTTGAGCCCTCCTGGGGTGTCACCAAGCCATTTTGAATCAGGATAGTGACTCAGGATGGCCTGTTTTCTTCCATTAACAGCTAATCCTTTTAGTTCATCTACTACCCCTGAGATGAGTTTGTGCTTGTAATTTGGAGTGTTGTGCTCTCAAGGGATGTATTGGACTTAATTATAAATAAAAACTACTTTCCTAGAGAAAGTACTTCAGCCTTGTTAGCTGAACTATTATGGCTTGTTGTTCATCCTTCATTCTTGAAGATGACCATGATTTCAGGGAGGTGATGCCATGACTTATAAGTGAATTGGATTTAAGTTAGAGTGGGCTGTGCAAAGCCACTAGCCTCACTCTCTCCTCCTGAGCCATCTGAGTCCAGTGGCGAGAAATAGATCAGGACAACTGGAGGTGGCCTAGATGCCTTGGTGAAGTGTTAGCGACAGTATGACTGTATAGATAAGGGCCTACCATATATAAAAGAGACAGTGAACAGGGTAGAAATTAGCCCACATCAGAGGTAAGGAAAATCATTTTGAGGTTCTACTAGTTAACTTGTTATTTACCAGTAGAAAGGTAGTATACATCTCTAGGTCCAGCACAAGTCTGAAGGGTAACACTATTTGTGTCTTAATTCATTGGAATAAAGCTTGCTGAGTGTAGACCTGAAATCTGGACATTAAGGAGTCAATGGAATAGTGATAGGGAGACGTAGGATTGAATCCTATACCTACAAAAATGTACTAGGGTGCTCAGTGTAAGGGTCCTACTGTAATGAAACTGCATTTTCAATGAATAAAAATGCTTAATAATAAGAAAAATGCAAGCCAAAACAACTCATGCCCATCAGATTGGCAAAGATGACAGTAAAGGAAAATGACAATTCTTGGAGGGGCTGAGAGGACGGGCACACTAATACATTGTTGGTGGGGCATTGAATTTGTCTAACCATCATGGAAAGCAATTTGGAATTATCCTAAAAAAACATAAAACATTCTTACTCTTTAACCCACATTTCCCATTCTTAGGCATATACCCTAAGAACAACAGATAGGAAGAAATGTCCCAAATACACTGAATTTTCATGAAGACACTTTTTGTGATAGTCAAGAACTGGAAATAAAGTAATTGCCCATTGATTGGGAAATGGCTAAACAAACTGAGGCACATGAATGTAATGGTATTGTACTATGCACTAAGAAATGATAAATAAAAAGAATTCGGAAAAGTATGGAGAAAATGACATAAATTGATGCAGTGTGAAGTAAGCATAACAAGGAAAGTTATATATGCAAACTGATTACAACAATATTGTAGGAAGGAATAGAAAAAAATGGAACTGATCACTTTGTAATTATAATAATCAAGCTTTGGTTCTGAAGATGAGATGACAGAATGTACTTCCCTCCATTCCTTGCAGAAATGGCTTTGAGGACTGCAGGCACTAAATGTTACATTTAATATCAAATTTAGTTAATGTACCTATTAATTTGGCCAAACTACTTTTTTTTCTGTTTCTTTTTAAAAATTCTTTATTATAAATGATGTCCTTATGGGAAGAGAAAGAGGAATATCTTCAGAAATAAAGGTGATGTAAAAACAAAGAATATCAATAAATCTTAAAAAGAAATGTTAATTGTAATGTTTTACATAACCAATGGAGGAGAGCGAGGTCAGGCACAAATGAGCTGCAGCTTATTTTCTGTGATGATCTATATTCAAGGAGTGAAATAAGTGATATTCTTGAAGATATGTATGATCTGAAATAGAGGTGGCTTGGCTTTGTAGCGTAAATGAGGGATCCCAGAGGGGCACCATATGTGCTCTATTGGTTCCCATTGAAATGTGCCAAGTCTTTGGAGG